ACGCACACACACAAACACACATATATATGTACACACTTATATAACATATATATATGTAACTTAAATATAATTTGATGTCACTGTATGTGCATTATTTCATTTCTTTTTATATTTGCATAATTTCCACAGTATGGACAATTCATTTAATCATTCTCATATTAAGGGAAATTCAAAATGGATGATTCACCTAATCGTTCTCATATTAATAGACATTTAAAATGTTTCCACCAACTTGATATTTCAACATTGGAGTGGTTACAAAGTTGAACCACATAAGGTTTTTGTCCTTATGACGCTTTCAGATAAGTGAAGGATACAAAGTAGAAAGCCAATGAAACAGGGTGAAAGTGTTAAAATGGGGTTTAAAGGATAATGTAGTACAGGCAACTGAGGCAAAATCAAGAGGTCAGTGAAGATTTCCTTTCCATTATAAGTTTAATTTTTAAAAACACCCGGCCAACAGCAACAGCACTATTTCCCCAACAGCTCTGCTTCTGCTACAGGAAAAAATTGCCTGGCCCAAGCTGTAGTATAGCTGAAGTGTGCTCTCTTCCCCATTTCCATCCAAGTAGATGCTCAGAGCTTAAGTAAAGCAGTCTCAAGAATCTAGCTGAGGTGGATCCTGAGCATACTGTCACATATTAAAATTCCAAGCAGACCAACTCAGGGTTTCCTATTACTGTGGCCAACACGGACACTGTAGGGACACTTAAAATGGCAGTGGTTATGATACAGTATTTCAGGTTCACAGCAATTCATAAGCATTATGCCCTAGAAAACTGGATATCTTTGCCACAATAATCTACAATGTGTACAGCATTTAGCTGTGAGTTCAGAAAGTGGACAGAATTATCTGAAAGAGATGAGAAATATCATAGAAGTTGTGCTTCAAGTTAAGTCATTTGCTCGGATGTGGCCAGTGGGTATTCTGAATAGTTTGTGGAACTTCTGAAACTTATCCATGTCATATTTCCAAATGTCAGGGAATGCAGTGACAGGAGGGATGGTAGAAGAGTTTACTTTCTGAAGCAGGTACAATCTAAAAGGAAATCAGCCTAGATTCTGTGTGCACTTCTCACATCAGAACATGAGTTGAGCAAAGTGATGGGATGTGTTGGGTCCACTTGTTCTCTGAAGTAAATCATCTCAGATAGCAATCTCTTGAATCCACTCTATGCAGCCAAACCTTTGGATCTGGAGCAGATTTTGCCATACTGGGAGGGATATTTTTAAGCCATATGAAGCATGCTAGAGAAATGAGGAAGAGCAACAGCCCCCTCAAGCTCTTCTATGGAATGAGCTCTGAAACAGCAATAACAAAATGTGCAGGAGGAGTTGCTGAATATAGAGCCTCAGAATATAAGACTATGGAAAGTGACTTCCAAAAGGAACATAGAAAACAATATTCTGGATATCATAGTCTTGTATAAGACCTCCTGGATGGCAAAATTCTTCCTCATTTCTCCTCCCCTCATACCACCTGGAGACTTTGACCTTTGGAGATATCCCTAGTGCCCTCTTGGTTCACAAAAACAGGACGTTGATTGGGTCAGAGGCTCAGGGTGTCTACTCTCCAGAACTCATGTCTTCATTTTTAAAGTAAACATGTGCACCTTTTTTGTTCCTGTTAAAAATATAGTTTTTACTTCAACATAGTGTTATTGTCTTAAAGAATCTACTTATATTTAAAAACTACTGTGATTAATTTATTTTCAAAGGTAGCTGCGTATTATATTGATTCACTGAAATCGTTTAGGGACAAGGATAAAAGTGAAGGCTTGTGTCATCTGGCTCTTTGTCAGGTGTGCACCAGTGAGGTGACTGATCTCTCCTTTGTGAGTATGTAGGAAAACAGGGTCAATATCCTCTGGCAATAGCTTCATAAAAATGGTGTTAGGGTTGCTTTAACTACATGTAAGCAGAACAAGCAGAGGAAAAGACAATGAAATTTCTGTTCCAATTTTTATGCAGTAGGGAATAAGGTTTCTCTGTGAGCCAATTGGCAAACAGCTCCTTCTGAAACACTGATATTTCTGGGTGATGCACCATTTAAAATTACAAGAGAAAAAAAAAGAGTGAATAAACAACATAAAAATAAAATAAAATTACAAGAGCCACTCAAGCATCATGAAAGCTGGAGCCTGACCTCTGCTTCTCATTCCCAATCTACATCTGATCATCTGCCTGGTTAGATAATCCTTCCTTCTCCATTCACTCTCCACCACCTCAGAAAAAAACACACAGGAAAAGGGAAAGGTATACAAGGCAACCTTTACTAAGGGCAAATAAGGGGTGCAGACTCTATGTGCAGCATCGACAGGTGAAGGAAAGATCGCTTCCAGCTGGGGTGGTTTCAGAGGCTGGATGATGAAGGCTGGGCCCTTAAGAATGAGCAGGACCAAGATCTAGAAAGAAGAAGAGGGCAATCAGGAGGATGAAAATGGTGTGCAAGGACAAAGAGAGAGAAGAAAGAATACTTGGGGCACGGTGAATGAGAGTACATTTTGGATGGCGCAAAGGAATGAATGACAAGGCTGAGAATATGTGTCCCAAGTCTCAATTCTGATCAATGCTGAATGTCAGAATAAGGAAAGTAGGATTTACTTCGAGGATGGTGGGGTTACCATCCAGGACCTTCAGGCAGGAAAATGACAAGTTTAAAATAAAGAAGAGTGAAGTTTAATTAGATGTTAATGTGCAAAGTAAATTGAGAAGTGAGAAGGAGGTGCAGAAGGCAGATAGGCCAGAGAAGCGTTACCAATGTGAAGCAGTAAGGAACCAAACCTGTACACAAATGCTTACAGCAGCTCTTTTCATAATTACTCAAAACTGAGAAAAACCTAAATGTCCTTCAGTGGGTAAATAGACCAATAATCTAAAACATCCATGTAACAGAATACTGCTCAGCAAAAAGAAAAGAATGAACTACTGATACATGAAACAGCTTAAATGAATCTCCAGGGCATTATTATGAGTGAAAGAAGCCTGTCTCTAGATGTGACATATAGTAGATTTCATTTATATAACATTCTGAATAAGGCAAAACTGTAGGAATTTGGAATAGATCAGTGGTTGCCAGAGTTTGGGAAGATGTACGATATGACTACAAAGGGAGGTTTTTGTGAGTAATTGAACTGTATATCCTGATTGTGTGGTGGTTACACAAATCTATATACTTGTTAAACTTCATAGCACTGTACACCCCCCAAAAAAGGTCAATTTTGCTGTCTAATACTTTTGAAAAAAATACCAGAGTTGTCTCCCATTACATGTAACATCTAAAAGAATGGAAACATTTTGTGGTAATGATTACATCTTTATAATTCACTAGCTATATTTACATTAAAAACTCTCCCTCAGATAGTAGAAAATGTATCTCTCAGCTGTAGAATAACCTTTTTATGCTTAAATATAAATTATTAAACATTATAAACAGCCAAAACGCTTATTTTTTTCCAACCCTTCCTTCCCCGTGGTAGGTTCTGTTGTTGGCTGCCACATCCCACTGTGACCATCCTAGACAAGAGACCCCTCTCTACCTCCTTTCCCTGACTGTGCAGCTGGCTTCACTGGCCAGATTGCCGTTCCCTGCATCAACGCACCTCCAAGTACCAGTGGATTCTGGATTATAGGGATTATCAGCTTTCTCTTTTAACTAATATATTTTGTACAGCCATGATGTTCCCTCTGCTTTCTGATTACAACACTTACGCATCTTGACTGTTCTCTTTTTAATGGAACAAAGTGAATGATACCAGAATAACTCAAGTGTGCCAATGAATAAATGAACATTTCACCTACTAATAAGCCTCACACCAAATAGTGAGATATAGGGAACTCTCTCCTTTCTTATTGTTACATGAATATATGAGAGTTATTTTCCAACACGTTTCCTTGAGTTCCAAAATAAAGTTCACTCTGTGGAAAGCAGGCTTTTCTGTGGACTCATTTGATTAACGAGACACTGAATCCTACAGAGGACAGGAGGTCTGTCTGAAGCCTCCATCTGAAACCCAAGTGGAATCATCCATCACTCATCAATGAAAAGGACATCCAACACTTGATAACTTGAGTTCAGCCAGAAAGAGAAAAAGTAGTGAATTACTTTCGTAAAATTGCTAACAAGAGAAAAGTGGGTCTCTTAGCACCAATTAATTTGGGAGACAGTTTTTAAAGTCGCTGTTTCAGTAAGAGTTAAATTTCTTTTTCTAACACACCAATATGTTGTGAAAACCGTCATTTCATTTGTAGCCATTAGAAAACTTTTCCAAAGTCTTAAACATTGATGTAACGAATTTGTCCTTCATAATGTGTCAAATATTGCTTACGTGGCATCTTTCGTCAAAATATTTTTAAAGAATGCTGATTGTTTAAAACAGGAGTCCTTGACCCCGGGGTGGTGGACGAGTAACTGCTTCGTGGCCTGTTAAGAAGCCGGCAGCACAGCAGGAGGTGAGGGCAGCGGGCGATCAAAGCTTCTTCTGTTTTTGCAGCTGCTTCCCAGGGCTAGCATCACTGCCTCAGCTCCACCTCAGATCATCAGGCATTAGATTCTCATAGGAGCACCGGTTCCTGGTGCCAAAAAGGTTGGCGGCCGCTGGTTTAAAACATTAAACAAAGCAGAAATCTATTCAAAAAAACTATTTTTGAAAAGCCCACACCCTCACTCCTAGATTATTTTCCAGTCCTACCCCCATCTACCACCTCTGCCCATTTTAACGTTAAATAGGACTCCAGGGGAACTGGTTGACCATAGGGTCTTGGGGGAGGAGGGGGAGTGGTTGAATTGGAAGTGAGTGAGTGAAAGAGATGATTTCCCAAAGAAGGAGGAGAAATGATCCATCAACCCCAGGAGGCTGGTCCTCCCTGGTAGTCCGAGAAAGGCGAATAGAAATTGCAGGGAGAAGACACCAGTTTTATTGTCTCTGATTGGCAAATACGAAAAAAAGATTGACAGTATCAAGTGGAGAGAATGCAGAGGAGGCGGGCTGCAGAGTTAAATGGGAGGAGTAGCTGAGGACTCGAGCTCATTGATGACGCGCGAACCTCACGTGACCAGGAGTCGACGTGTGCAGAAGTCCTTATAGTCCGGGGCCTGTTTCCTTGTAGCAGCTCCCTATTGCTCAGAAGGAGGAAAGCGCCTTGGAATCCTTTCAGGTCGGTATAAGGTGGGCGCTGCCTTGAGGACCCTGGGGTCTAGGAGTCAGAGAGCAGAAACCAAGCGAGGCCGGCACTGCTTTCCCAACACTACGGTTCCGCCAAACTCCCATTTTTATGCAGAAAATTTGGGGCTGTTAGGTTGGGGGAGGGTGAAGAGGGAGAAGGGTAGCCAATTGAGGGTCGTGCGCGAGAGACTTGGAAGCAATTTGGAAATCAGCTGCGTCTCCCATTCCTTCCTTGCGGGGAACCGGTGCGGACCGAGGTGGGAGGGCGCAGTTGCCTTAAAAGGAGAGGATGAGGACGTGGGGAAACTTTAGACGAACAAGGCCTAGAACCGTGAAAGGGACCCGTGAATCAGGCACTGGCCTGCTCACCAAGCACTCCTGTTGGTCTCCAGGACTCTTGGACTCTTGGGCGCGACACAAATCGAGTGAAGAAAGAGAGAAAAATCTCGTGGATCCCTGCAGGTCAGTGTAAGGGTGCAATTGCCCCAGATCCCTTGGGGTGGGAGTGGGAGTGTGGATGACACCAAAGCACCTCCCTGGGTCGCTGCAGCCTCTCCCCATCCAGAAAAAGTGCTAGAGGCCTTTGCAGTCCCTGCGGCGGAAATGAGGTGGGGGCGGGGGAGGGGGAGCTGGAGAAGCTTGGAAGGGGGAGGGGAGGGGAGGCCAGAGACTGGACCAGCGGGTCTCAGGTGAGAGGCTGGAGGTTGGGATGGCTTGGGAAAGCCAGAAAGGGCGGGAGTGTTAGAGACCAGCGGAGAGGAAGGGGTTAATTGCTTCCGCGCAGCACGCATTTCTGGGCTAGGAGAGGCCTGTAGCAGGGCTTGCTGGGAAATGGTGGGCTGGAGCGGAAGGAGAGAAGACGGAGCTGGGACAAGAGGGGGAGGGAAGGGAGGTGGAAGAAAGGGTGGAGTCAGGGGAGTACAGAGCCTGAGAATCTAACCTCTATTTGGAAAACTTGGACTATTAGGGACCTGAATGAAAAAAGGCCAGTCTCTATGGGAACGCATACTGTGGATGCTGGTCTCTTTGCCTGGCATCTAGTCATTTTTTTTTTGTTTTCTAGGATTAATTTATTCAAAAGGGAAATAATAGAAAAATACTCAACATGCAAAAATCGTGTGAAGAAAATGAAGGAAAACTACAGAGCATGCCAAAGGCCGAGGAAGACCGCCCGTCAGAAGATGTACTACAGGAGGCAGAACGAAATCCTCAACCTTCGGAAGAAGGTGTGAGTCAGGAAGCAGAAGGAAACCTTAGAAGCGGGCTGATTCAACCTGGCCAGGGATTTAAAGAGGACACTCCTATTAGGCATTTGGACCCTGAAGAAATGCTAAGAGGAGTAGATGAGTTGGAAAGGCTTAGGGAAGAAATAAGAAGAGTAAGAAACAAGTTTGTGATGATGCATTGGAAGCAAAGACATTCACGCAGCCGTCCTTATCCTGTGTGCTTTAGGCCTTGAATTCTTTTTTCTTTTTTTTTTTTTTGTCTGATAGTAAAATCTGGCCCCTGCTTTCTGTCTGTTAGCATTTTCCAATGTATCTCTTACCTTTGCTTTACTTCTAATCACCTGGTGGAATTTTGTTTTAGGTAGTTTCCTTGTTACCAGCATCTCACTGGATTTTGTATTTTGACTCATTCTCCAGGTCTATTTTTCAGTTGGGAAGTTTTACACATATGCATGAAAATATGTTCGTTCCATATTGTAAAGTAAAACATAACAAGTTACGAAGCAGCATATTTAGTATCAGCTCACATAATGTAGGTTAAAATCCCAAATTGTGTGTGTGCGTGTGTGTGTATACATACATATATCAAAAACTGTGCTTATATTTCTGCGTGTGAGTTCTTTTTGCTTATATGTATTTTTTAATGAACACATGTCACAGAATTGAATTTTTTAAATAAGAGTCAAATAATTTGCAACCAGCTTTTAAGGGCAATGGGGGCACCTAAACTCTTGATGAAATAGCTATTAAGATGTAAACCTCAAATCACCTCTGGATCTCTAAGCCAGAGAAATAAAACTGGCAATGATTACAGATATACTTGTTTAAGACTTGATCTTTTCATGGGGAAACAAACATTCGCCTCACAAGGCTGATGTGGGCAAGAAAGGAGGTGACTCTGAGCTGTGCTTGGCTGGCCATTATTCCCACCTATGCACAGAGAACCTTAATCCACCACAGAACATCAGTTATTTGAGGGCGGGCCTGGCATGACTCAACCTGTGCTCAGAAACAAGTCCAATAGGCAGGGAGGTGGAGGCTTCCATGCTAGTCCTCTGCTGGTGAGCTCCACCCTGTCTCCTTCCTTGGGTCCCGCCATGCCCGTTGGGCACCACTGCCTCTTCTGGGTCCTGTGCTCTCTGCTAGCCCCACTGCTGCTGGGGCACTGGAGTCCTCAATGTCAAAACCCCAGTGAATTCCCCGGATTTCCCATGAAACCCACTGTTTTCTAAAGCCTCTTTCTTCCCTATAGTGACACTTAACACAGGTGGGGACTGTTCCAAGATTGCTTGGGCCACAATGTCTTGCAGAGTTTTAGCAAAATAGCCCCTTCTGATTTCAGTCCCAGGACTTCTCCAGGAGTCAGACGTGACGAGTCCAGTTTTGGAGTTGGACCAGGGTGTAAGTCTGAGTGAAAAACGCTGTAGTCAGAGTTGTTGCCCTAGGTCTAAAGACAGGTTTTGTCTTCTCATGTGAAATTATCTGTCCCTGAAGGCTCGTGAAGAGCCTGCCCTACTGGTTTAGAATACTCAAAATATGCATAAATTGCACAAAGCAATGCAAGAAACATCTAAGGAAACAGTCTCCTTCACCCCTACCCTATCCCCAGTTAAAATGTGAAAAAAAAAAAAAACTTCCAAAGGCACTAAGAATTTTAGAAATGCATTTGAAGTCTAATGGCTACTATGTAAATGTTACAAATTATATTTCCTCTACAGATCAAACAAAGGCTATCTTTTCCTCCTGATATCCCCACATACTTGTGTTTAACCAACAAACACATCGTGTTTTAATATTTGATAAATTTCGTCATTGATTATTACCAAGGAGCTAGTAGGTTTGTCCAAATTCTGCTATGGCTCAATAATCTTTCGCAAGACTTTTTATTTCTCTATATTGTGAGAAGCAATTCTAAAAAAGAAACTGCATGGAATGGATTGCACTCCAAATGTTTTATTAAAGTCTTGCATAATCGCCTGCATCAGAATGACCTGGGGAACATTTTTAAAATGATGGTTTTTGGGCCCCACCTAAGACTCCCTGACTAACGGTGGGCTGTAGAAGTAACAGTTCATAAGCTCCTCCAGGTGACTATGATACATGCTGAAGCATGTGGACAACTGGTGTATACAGTATGCTTTCCATTATCACAAATATGAACCAAAAAATAATTAGAAGAAAATATTGGTGAATGTTTATTGAAATTCAGGATTTATAGGCTTATAACAGCATTTATTTTTTAAGTATGAACTTTTAAAGGAAACAATTGATAGATTTATACACAAAATTTAAAACGATTCCCTTCAAAGACAAGATAAAAAGCCAAGAGAGGGACTGTAATGTAAGATGCTTTTTTCTGACTGTACACTATGTTTGGCCATGCATTCACTTCTTCCAATTTCAGTAAAACAAATTCAGGTTCTCTTCAAGATTATGGCAGCCTGATGGTTGCTGGTGGTGCTGGATTCCGGCTGGAGTGAGGTGAGGGTCCAGGGGCTCACTGTGGCAGTTTTACAGACAGGATGAATCCATCCCCCAGTGCTCTAAGGAGTAGCACTCAGGCAGGATGTGGAAGGGCTCACTCCAACCACATACCTTTCAGGTGATCTGACTTTGATTTCTCTACTCTAGGCTGCAGCAGGCACCAGATCCTTCTAGGCTGATGGTAGCACTGTTCTGGACATACTTACCTGGAGTGCGACAACTGTTCCCACTGCAGGTCATAACATTTTGCCTTTCCCTTATTTTCCTTTTCTCTTTTGGGGAACTTTTTTAAGGGACTAGATCAAGCCCCCCAAAATTCCTAACTGGAAATATTGGTTATGATAATATTTGGCCAAGCAGTTGTCTGAACTGAGTCTGACCAGGTAACATGGAGTTAAAGCAGAAGGGGCTGACCCTTCTCTCAGAGTTCGTTGAAGTAGTTCCCAAAACAATTGGGGTGGAAATGGGGGTAGATCTCAAAAAAGACCTCCCTTTCCCCTCTCTTACCTTGTTCATATTCCCAGAAGGGCCTTGGATGTGCCCCTGCCTGTTTTGGTGGTGTGGTGACTTTAGCTCTGTGTGTACCTGGTGCAGTGCTTCTGATGTCTGCATCAGCCCAGGCCCAGAGGCACAGGAGACCAAGGCAAAGGGAGCTTGCAAATGCACGTGGTCCTACAGCTCAGGAGAAAAGGGGTGTCACCTCCTGCGTAAGTACTCTTATGCACTCCGGGCCCAGCCACAACTTAGGGGCCAGGACAGTCAAACTGTGAATTGGTGTGGAGGTGCTTTTGAAGGCATTGATGATGGAGGAAGCTATGCCATTGTGGCCCTTGCTCTTTAGTTCTGTCATCTGAAGAATTGTTACTTTTTTCTGACATCCTAAAGAACTGTTGGGCAATAAGATGAAGATGAAATTCAAATTCTTGGGTTTAGGAAGGCAAGGTGGTTGGGTATATGACGTAAGATCCAGTTAAACTTGGTTCCAATCTGAGCTATTCCGTTTTCAGTATGCTACTTTGCATAAATCATTTATCTTCTTTCTTGGAGGAAATCTACTGTTTTGGAGACTAGGCCATTAGTGGAGTCCCTGAATATAAAACTCTTAGATAAAAGAGAAAATTTCCTCTCCTCTACCATCATTGCTGTTATTGTTGTAGTTGTCGTCGTCATCATCATCATCATCATCATCAAGGAATGGTATTGAATGAATACTCAGTGGATTTCTGTTGGGCCACATCTGTGAAGGTTTATAATAATCAGTGTTCAAGCCCTAGAAATTCATTATCTGAAAGGGTGAACCTAGTATAATGGTAAAACACTTGTATCCTTTGCTTATAAGAAGTGGGAGGCCAGATTGTTTCATTCGTGTATAAAACGAGTATAACCCTATAAAACCCACAAGACTGTTGTAGAAAGTAAATGCAGAGAATTATATGAAATTCCTGGCATATGATAGGCCTTAAGAGAATGTTAGATCTTTGATCATCATTATCATCAGTGTTGTCATTATCATCATCATCATCATCATCAATCATCATCATCAGGTGATATTGACACAATATTCAAATAAGAACTCAGAAAATTTGTGCTTCCTTGGCTCCACATCACCCTTGTAGAACAAAGTCTATGCTTATTCCTTTCATCCAATTCTCTCCCTTGCATAAAACAAGCAAATAGTACATAAACTAAATGGAATAACTGTCATTCATTTGGAATTATAAAAAAAATAATTGAATTCTATCTACATTTACATCATTTATGCACTCTGGTGCCATTTCTGTATTGGAAGATGAGAAAGAAAATTCCCTACATGTTTCCATTTTATTTTGTAACTTGCTGGAAAATTTGAAATTATGAGAAAAATCTTACTGTCATGAATTACAAAATATGATGTAGATATATATCATTGACATGGAAAGCTGTTCCTGACATACCGTTTTGTGAAAAAGCCAGGTGCAACACACACACACACACACACACACACGCACACACACGTAAAGGATAAATATCAAAATATTTGAAGTGAATATTTCTAGATGGTGTTTTCATGGAAAATTTATAACTTCATCTTAAACCTTATATATCCAGGTTTAACTTTTTCAATGAGCATGTGGAGTTTTTCTGATTAGAAAAAGTAAAGGTGAAAATAATATAATTCTGTTTCTCCTTTCTCTTAGCCAAGATAGGGGTTGTTGGCTTTTCCAGTTCCTTATTTGCTTTCTGTTCCATCTTACTTCTGAGAAGAATCTGGTATAAGTGTCAAACCTCTGTGGGTCCTGGCTGAGAAGTTCCCCTTCCCTATGCCACCTCCTCGTTACTCTCTTTTGTCAACTAAGTTTATACTGTATTTCTGTCTTTGGTCACATTTCATAACTACATATCCTCCCATAAAGCGATATTAAATATCCTCCCATAAAGCGATATTAATTTTTCAAAAATAAAATAGCAATAAGCATAACTTTCAAAGAACATTATGAAACTGATTCCTAATTCTGCTTAAAAAAATACACAGGTAAAGAAAAATACTGGAAGGATATACCCTCAGTCGCATTTGCTAGAGATTCACGAATAAACATTTCATTTATTTATTCATTCAACAAATATTTACTGGATGAAAACTATGTGTCAGGCTGTGCTAGCCAAAATCAATTCATCCATCCCAGACTTTTCTCCTGAGATTCTATTCAACTGCCTGCTGATATCGATCACTTGGACTAAGACAAATGTTATCCAACCATACGGGCATAATCCTGCATGGAAACATACTCATTGCTTTTAGCTAGTTTATCCTTAATCCTGGAGGTTCACCACAGACATAGGTGTTCACACATGTATGCATTCACACATTTACATCTATATTTCTATATCTATATATCTCTATCTATCTATATATCTATTTCTATCTATATCTATTTATCTATTGAAAACCATATAGGTGCCCTCTTCAGATTGCTGGCAGCCCTCTATATGGACATGCTTCTTATCCTGCTCAGACTCTGAAATCCTTCTCTAGTCTGCCATACATTGTCTCCAGGTGGGCACTCTCTTCGACCAAAGAGAACCGCAATACCCCTCACCTGGCTATATCCTACCTGGGAAGCCCTCCTCACAATTTTTAGGCACTAACTCTCTACAATGAGCCACTCTCCCTAGATGAATGCCTTTCTCATCCTGCTCAGGCTGACACAGCTCACTTCTCTCCTTTGGGGAAGACACCTATCTTGCTCTTCCTCATCTAATGGTGTTAGGACTGAACTGTTTGGGAAGGGAAGGGAAAAGAAGGGATGAGAAGAAGGAACACAACTTTTTAATTTTGTTTTTATAACTGAACTA